ACTTGTTCGAACAAAATTTGTCCCTCTTGTTCCAGGGAGAAAGCTTTTAATATGCCAGCAAAATGCACAGGATTTTTCATTCATAACATTATTTGCATACTATCAGGCTTCAGAGTTTTCCAGAGATGGAGCCCACCTGAAGCCATTAATGATGCCTTAGGTTCTTCAACCTTTAAATTCTTTTTCTCTTTAACTTTTCAAGAATCACTATTAAAATGCCTGTTAATTTTATTAGGAAATGTTTCTTCTCCAAAAGAGTGGTGAGGCACTGGAACAGGCTGCCCAGGGAAGTGGTGAGGTCACCATCACTGGAGGTGTTCAAGAAACATTTAGATGTTGTACTAAGGGACATGGTTTAGTGGGGGAAATATTGGTGGTAGGCGAATGGTCGGACTAGATGATCTTAGAGGTCTTTTCCAACCTTGATGATTCTATGAGTCTATAATGTTAGTGTGCTGGTAAAGAATCCTTCAAGAAATCAGGATTATGCTGGTATATTAGAGCAGACAGTTTGAACTGTCACTCTTGTAGGTCTCAGAGCATAAATTGCCATTTGTGAATGAGAACAGAAAATGTTTTCAGTCAGATTGTAGCTCCAGAGTTTGTTTCACTGCCTACTTCTTCCTACAGGTACAGGAAACGTGGGCAACAACCAAATCTCTCAAGACTGCAATCTTTCTAAACGTGTCAGTGTCTTGAAGATACCTTCTTTCCACAGCAGTATTTTGATGGCATGCCTGAATGATCAAGCTGTAGTATCCTGTTCTGATTACTCCCACCAGGACCCTGAGTGTAAGAGCAGGCTTGGCTTGGATTTGTTTTTTCCATGTTCACTCGGATGAACATAGCAGAGCAGTGTCACGCTTCTGGGCAGGTGGCTCTGACTGAGCATGGACCCTCCGAAGTCTGCACAGGATATTTTAGCCCATGACCAACCACACTGCCCTTGTCTAATCATATCAAGCAATCACCCTGGAGCTTAATCAGATTCTGTTACCATCACCAACCGAACCATAACAGAAGAGTTAAGGTTGAAAGGGACCTTAAAAGACCATATCGTTCCACAACCACTCTGCCAAAGGCATAGACACCTTCCACCAGACCAGGTTGCTCCAATCCAAAAGGTTGCCCATTCAACCTTACCTTGAACTACTTGGAAAAACCTGTTGTTCCAGTGCCTCTCCACACTTTGAGTAGTTTCTTCCTAATGCCTAATCCAAATCTCTCCTCTTTTAGTTTAAAGCTATTACTTTTTGTCCTGTCACAACACTCCTTGATAAACCATCTCTCCATCTTTTCTCTCAGCCTTCTTAGGTAATGGAAAGCTGCACTCAGATCTCCCTGAATCCTTCTCCAAGCTTAAAAATCCCTGACAGCCTTTCTTCATAGCAGAGATGTTCCAGACCTCCAAGTATCCATGTGGCCCCCGTGTGGACTCACTCCAATATATCTTTATGTTCAGGGCCCCAGAGCTGAACACAGTACTCCAGGCATGGTCTCAAGAGAGCACTGGGGGAGACCCACCTCCTTCAGTCTGCTACCTACATTTGCCCTGGCTTTCTGGGCTGCAAGTACACAATTGGCTCACACTGAGTTCCTCATCCACTTGTACTCGTACACGTAGTTGAGACCCCCAGTATTTCTGAATTCAGATTCACAGCTATCTTACTCAACAGGAATAGTCTCCAAATGATTACACAAATGACATACTTTGCAACAAGTAAAAAACAAGACTTCAGTTGTATTTCTCCTGTCTTCTGGACTTCCAGAAAGCTCCAGTTCTGCATTCACTTCCAGCATTCTACTTTTCATGCTACAAGGCAATCAGTGATGACTCAGTACTTTAAGCCTGTGAGAGAAATTGAGTGCTCTCCGTCATTCTAGCTTGGTGAGGACAACAGCAGCGTTACATCCAAACTGTTAGGTTGAAGCTCAGGCTTAGAGCTCTCAAGTTCATACACCCCAATTGATCTCATTGCATATATGTTGAGCTCAGACTTGGCTTGACTCTGGAATTGCAAACTGTAGCAGAGACTTGCATCTTGCTAGATTGGATGAGCTTAAGCCAAATGAAATTGCCCACAAACTGGCAAAGATTAAGAAACTAAAGATGTAAAGATCCAACTCAAAATCCATCTGAGAAACTCTGGCCTTTTAGGCATAGTTCCCAGTAACAGACTGTGCAGCCCAGAACACATGAGCATATAGATTTAAAGACAGTTGAGTTCTTACTGTTCCTAGCTGGAAAGCCTGTTTTCATAGATGCAACCTGCCATAAATTAGAATGATGTCACTGACATTGTACTGAATATGTCATTAATTCAAGGTTAGATAAGCACAAAGGAAGCTGACTGTAAAATATGGACAACAGAATCGTAGTCCAAAAACAGTATTACCATGGATCTTACTTCATGCAATATCTTTTTAAAGTTTATCCACCAATTTCCTCTTCAATATTTGAAAATTTTCCAGTTTCCCAGTACAGTGATACCATGACTACAGATGCGTGAATATAAATGCATATGCACACATGCACACTTATACACGTGTGTATGTAACAAGACAGCCAGAGTAAAGCCCTTTAGGCTTGAAAATGTTTTTTTTTTTCCTAGCTTGCTGAAAAATCTTTCACCTTAAGAAACACTGATTTAAATGCTTTTATACTGTCTTCTCTCTTCAGCCAGATAATTCTATAAGATGGGAGCAACATGATTCATCAAGAGATAAGCTAATCCCTTCTCTGACAGGACATAAGATTAGTGATGTTTCTCATATTTTCCAGGTTTTTTTTTGTTCGCTTGTTTTTGCCTTACTTGCACTTTAAGGTTGCTAGCAATGTCAGCTGAACAAACTTCCTTCAGCCAATAATTCACATCCTACTGTTTGAATTTTTCTTCCCTTATATCTAACCTGAATCTTTTGTTTGCCCATGCAATACTGTGAACTATCCTATAGATACAGAATCATAGAATCACCAAGACTGGAAAAGATCAGCAAAATCATCCAGTCCAACCATTCCCCTATCACAATTATTTCCCACTAAACCATGTTCCTCACTACAACATCTAAATGTTTCTTGAACACCTCCTTGGACAATGACTCCACCACCTCCCTGGGCAGCCATTCCACTGCCTGATCACTCTTTCGGAGAAGTAGTATTTCCTAACATCCAACCTGAATCTCCCCCTGAAGCAACTTGAGGCTATTCCCTCTAGTCCTATCACTGGTCTCATGGAACAGGAGCCCTACCCCCAGTTCACCACAGCCTCTTTGCAGATAGCTGTAGAAAGCGATGAGGTCACTCCTGAGCCTTCTCTTCTCCAAATTGAACAATCCCAGTCTTCCAGCCCTCTGCCACAAGCCCGTAGTGTTGCCTGGTACTGTTGTGGCCAAAGTGCAGGACAAGCACTTGGTCTTGTTGAACATCATCCCATTGGCCTCAGCCCAGCTCCAGCCTGCACAGATCTCTCTGTAAGGCCTTCCTATCCCCAAGCAGACTGACATTTCCTGCCAACTTGGTGTCTTCTGCAAATGAGTTGACATCTGAGCAGCCTCTCCTCCTCACTAGAGACTTAGGGATACTGTCTCGTAACACCCTCCTTCACAAAACCTCTATGTAACATCATATAACTTACAGTCTTTTCTCACATTTTATAAAATTTTTTCATTGCTCTCTCTTTCAGACAATCTTCAGCTGGTCTACACTTTATGAAATGAAGCAAAGCTAAATCCAGGTATAAAACTTAGTATTGTTAAATCAGGACTGAATTCTGGATAAATCCTATAGATAACTAAATATGGGATTTTCAGAAGCACTTTGAATTGTGGCACTTTAGAGCTAGATTAGATAAGAATGTAACGATGGTATTACCTGACAATCTAAGCAGAAACTGGATATAAAACTGTAGGGCAACTTTTATTTAACCGGGCTAAATCTTTAATTGTGTTTACCTGTTTTCTTACCTACTAAGTATATAACGTGCAATAACTAATTAGTCTAGCAATTTCATCTACTTAATTGGAAACTTCTATGAATACTGAATTTTGCAAATGTAAAAAAAAAAAGAGATTGAAGTATATTCTACAAATAATTTATCTATAGTCTTATGTGCCAACTATTCAACTCCTGAACTTTCGAAATAAAAAAAATCTTGATACTAAATAATTTTCCTCTACTGGAAAACCTGCCTGCTGCTTATTCAGTATTGGGTGCTGGAACAGTCAGATATATGCAGTATAGTCTGCTCTGAGCTAACAAAAAAAGAAAAAAAAAGCCTCCCAAAAACAAACCCACTAATAAAAATGTGTGGAGAACTTGTCTTTAGCAGGGGGAATAAAAGTAGGTAGGATGCTTGAACTCAGAGAAACAGTAGGGTAGCCAGCAAAAAAAAATAAAATTGAACAATAACAGTTAAGCCATGGATAAGAGAGGATCAAAATCCAGGAAAAGAATCATTAATTAATTGTATCCTCCTCCTGTTTGTTGCAAAGACATTGTTTGTTGTGTATGGTGGGAGAGGGAAAGGAGAACACTATTTCTTTTTGTCAATGGCTCTACAATAATAGAAAAAGGCTTCATACACAAGAATGTTAATTCACCTTGGCTCCATTTTCACTGTTCCCAGATGAGAAAAAATAATGATCATAGGGATCCAGCAGTGTTCCCTTAATAGTTCCTATGTTAGATAAGATTGCCTCCCACTTAACTAAACAAACTGATGCCTTAAAAGTATGATCAAAATTAAAGATGAATTTAAGAAAATTACTTATGGCACTAAAAGCACATTAATGCTGCCCACATCATTATTTATAGAGAAAGAAGGTTATTTTGATTGAGGTGATAAATTACCTTTCTACAGCAGAAGAAAAAAAAAACAGTTTACAGGTTCAAGCTGTAAAGTTATTAAACAAGGTCTGTCTGTACTAAGCAATGCACAGCATATTAGAAAAGTCAATTTCTTAAATTAAGTGGCAAATTAGCAAGTGGATGAAGGACTGACCTTGGATCGGGGTGGTGCTCGGATGTACCATTTACAGTCTACTGCTTCAGTTTCAGAAGCTTTTCCTTCTTTGACAATTTGAACAGATTCCACAATTCCTTCAGGTCCTCCCATTTCAAACTCACAAACTAAATAACAAAATATCAGAAAAATGAATCCTGAACAGCAAACAAAAATATTTTCTACAGCACAGTACAAATGCCTCCAGAACTTAGGAAAAACCAACATACCAACCTGGCAATGGTTTCAAAACTCCAAGGTCCTTAAAATCTGGATCTTAAAAATTGAGAAAGAGAAAATTAGTTTTGTTCAATAACTTGGCTGTAATGTCAGTGTGCTAAATTTTAACCGGAGTGATATAGTTATACATATATTTCTTAGGATCACAACTTGCTTATACAAGAAGTTTAAAAACTATGGCAACATAGTAATTATTAATGCAGACAGTATTGGTACTATTGTGCAAAGTTCTTCTGTTTCTACTTTAGTCAAAATTTCCTCCATCTCATTCACTGTTTCATGAGTGAGAGTTAAAAAAAATTCTGCATATTCAAGCATGCATGAACATTACACAGTTAACCCCAAGATATCTGAATAAAGGCTAATGAAATAGGATAAATTTACAAATTTACTTTGCCTATTATGCATTTTCAATGTGATTATAACACTCAACTTAACTTGATTCCGCATTTATGAATACTCTACTACCCCTTTCAACAGTGAGGATTCCTTTTCTTTCTCAGAGACACCCACCTAGTATTCCATAAATAAATACAATAAGAATTTATTGTGGAATTCATCACATTAATAAGGTAATAGGTCTAATATGCCTGCTATTTTTTATCTGATCAACATAATATTTACTAAGATGCTTTATATCATGCCTTTACAGCCTGACAACACTTAAATAAGTTTGATCATAGATCTATGTCTCAAGAAACAGGTATCCATAGACAAGCAGCATTTCACAAGATTTTTTCACAGTTTGAAGATATTGTCCTTTGAAACACTTTAGCCCCTTCTACATTTCTGGTTCTGCCCAATCATCTCTTCAGAACAGACTATCCTGTAGTTTTTCTCTCTTGCATTATTGTTCTACCTAACATGAATATTCTGTACTGTTTTGCTCATCTTCAGGGAAAATATTACAAGAAAGAACTCCACCATTCTTTACCCTTTTTTCCACAAAATTTGATAGGATCTGCTCTTCCAAAATCAATTATAAACATCTACATACAAACACTCTGCATCAAGATTCCCCTGGCCACGTTCTACCCAGGCCTCTGAAGGATTGCACAAAAGGAAAACCAAGTTACAGTCTGAGCCTTGAAGTCTACTCAGATCACATTACTGCTTTGATTCAATGTATCAAAAGTTATATAAACAAGGAGTAGAAAATATGGCAAATAATATGAAAAACAAAATCCAATGCTCTATGAGCAAGAACAGCCATTTTAATCTGAACAGTGAGGATATGCTGTCAGAACTGGAGTTGTAAAGTCACCTTTTAAAACTGTCTTGTTATAACCAGGCTGCCATTGTTCTTCTCAGTTTTCTTTTACAGTGGTACAATATAAATCTTGATTAAATACTCATGAACTTAAGAGACTGCAAATATAATTGAGTAGGCAATTAGTATTAATTGTTAAGCAGTTTTATAGATCAGCACATAGATATGATAACAAACAACAGTAAACTTAATTAAACATTTCAATTAACGTACTCAGATGTTGATATCTACTGCTGAAAGTAAGACACTTAAAGGAAATATAATTTAACTGCTGGTTTAAATTAACATCCAAACCATGCCTAGTGTAACCATCACAGTTCTTCTCAGTTTACAAGGACTGGTCTACAAACACTCCAACACATTTGCAAAGTACAGAGAAGCAAGAGGAAGAAAAAGATCTTAATAGAATTTCTCTCATCTGAAGGGATTTTCATAGAAAGGAGTCATGGTAGCAAGAATCCAAGTGTCTTGCTGCATCAGCTGACCATACTAGAAACAGGTGGAGAGAGTTGGACACAGACTGTGTGTCAGATTGTGAAAAACTTTTGCTCTTCAGGTTTCAAAGTCTGATCACATCCTATAGTAAGCACACATTAACCTTTTGCCAATTTGTGAAGGACAGACAGCTCTGAAAACATGGGGCACAAGAGAAAGACCTGACTTACTCTGCAGCGCTTTGGGACCCAAGTCCAATAATCTGAGAGAAAATGTGCCTGTTCAGTCATGCCCCCCAGATAGTTGATATGCTTTGTGTTAGAAGGCTTTTATACCCAGTTTTCGTAGTTCATGACAGAAGCAGAAAGACAAATTATCTGCTCTCCATAAGTATTAATATTATGGTAATAAAATTAAATTTATCAAAATGATAATAAAGTGAAGATAAAAAGAATTCATACATTTTTATTAAAAAAACCCTTTGTTTTCCAGATGTGAAACTCATTCTACCTGCTATTTCAGTGTTTATTATCAATTTTCAAAGCATCTTACTTGAGTAAACTTAATAAAGCTGAAGTGTAATCCAGACATACATTTTAATGCATAAAAAACTCCAGTTATATCTTCCCATTTTTTTAGCAATACAGTTATTACAAAGTCACACCAAAGTACAAAATCTGTTAAAATTCTAGCGATATGTTAGATCTTGAATTGGACAGGCTGTGAAAAATTATCTTTCTGCAGCCTAAGAGTGAAAGTGAAATAAAGTCTGTGACACTTGAAGTAATAAATTAATGGTATATTGGCCGATACAACAGTCTGGAAGTAAGGCATTATCAGAGATCCTGAAATTTCAATGATGTTGAAGCATATTTACCCAGCACAATTTTGTTTTTAAAATAATCTACCATTAAGTAGATTATACTTCAACAGCTCTTCTGTATGTAATTCAATTAAATTGTTATTATCTGTCTGGCTGAGTCAGAACTCTTTTAATGATACCTAAACACTGACTGACTAGATCTTCTGATAGCCAGGTAGTCATTTCTTTTGCAACTAATGAAAATCAAGTTCCATTAGGGAAAATTCCTAAGTCAGACAAAAAAAAAAAAAAAAAAAAAACACTGAAAAACAAGAATGATAACCTACTTCATTAAAGAGAAAAACATGCAATAAGTCTTGAGAGTACTGCAATACACTGACTTCTTGTTTTATTTCTTATGGGGAACTCTCTCATTAACTGAAATATGAGAAACATGGTATTTATATAGGAAATGTGAAAATATGTAAAGGGTATGTAAATACAAGACCTTACAGCCAACATAAATTTGAAGCTTCTTGGATATGGAATGTCTCTTTTAAAAACAAGCAAACAAAAAGGGTATCTAAAAATTTCCTTTGATGATATATTACTATCAGTTTCATAAGTAACAGATTGTTGTTTTGTTAACACAAGCTTTACTGCAAAATCCCTGTAAAGCACAGAACTACATTTGAAAAATATTATGAGATATAAAAGATGTACCAGGTTATTCAGAGTTACCAGCAAACAAACAAAATGAGATAATTTAGAGTAGTCCAGGAAGAAACTGATGATATCTGTAGGTTTTCTTAACCTCTAAGAAATGAGTTGGATAATGAGACAATGCTGGCTGAACAGATGGGCCCAAGATTTAGGTGAAGAACATAAACTGGTGGTGCATTACAGAGGTACATGCTGGCTGCAGTTATGTTCAGTATCTTCATTAATGATCTGGATGATGCAGCAGAATGCTCCCTCACCAAGTTCGCAAAGAACACAAAACTGGGGGTGATAGACAGACCAGAGGGTCTTGCTGCCATCTTGAGGAATCCTACATTGGAAAAATGGATTGGAAAAAAGGAACCTTGTGATGTCCAAATACAAAGCCTGGGAAGGAAAACTCCAAGTAGCAGGACATGCTTGCAGCTACTCAACTAGAAAGCAGATCTGCAGAAAAGGACCTATGCACTAAGTGGAACATGAGCCAGCAATATGGCCTTGCAGCTCAGAGGGCTAGCAGGACCTGGGTTATGTTAGGCAAAGCATCACCAACAGCTGACCCTTCACTGGTGAGGCCTCATCTGGAATGCACTGTCCACTGCAGTGGAATTTGCTTCAAATCATGGCACAACTGGCATTTCCTAGAATATCTTAGATCTAGAATCCATCTAATTTCTCAGAATCATTTATATGTGAATAAAGTATACATACTGAAGAATATGAACAATTAATGTATGATTAGAAGATGTAAGCTATAAAATCCTAGTGCATGTATGAGACCTATTTTACAGTTAATTTGATTTTTTTTCCCTATTACTTAGAAATGAAGGAATTATTTGATTAAACTATACAGTACAGATGGTTGATTTTTGAAACAAATGTTTATGCTTTTTTATACAGAAAAATACATTTTATGTATATAAGCAAGAATCACAGCATGTAGAAGCTAAATTTGCTAAAGATAAAAAACACATGCTCAATTTCATTTATTGAAGACAACTACAGATATCTTTCCATTTTCCTGTATTTGAATAACTAGAAACAGTCATTCAAGTTTTAAACTATGAATATTTAAGATGTGCATACACTAGAATACCTATCTGTATCACAGAATTTATGAGAGAACTGATTGCACATAAATACTCATGGAAAAGTAAATAGAATTGCAATATTCAGCATACCATCAGCTATTTATTTTAAAGTTTATGAAGTCAGGTATCTTTTTACAGTTACTTATGGGAGTCCTGCATTTTAAAAGGGTGAACTGTAATACTTCTCCATAAAAGCAGTGCTTGCAGAACTCTGTACAAAACAAGATTTTTTTATGGTTTTCTCCTAGTATTTGATGATAAGATGAGCAAACAGGAAAATGACCAAAATATTTTGAAAACATGAAAATGTGTTAAAGAATCGCCAAAAAAAAAAAAAAAAAACTAAAATGAAGGGGAAAAAGGTTCTAAAAATAAATATTTTGTGATGTGTATGAGCAAGGGGATTTAGCTACTCCACTAGAAGAGCAATGGAAAAGTGCTAAGGAACAAAAAAAGTTCTAAGTGAACCAGATGCACAAAAATATAGGAATTATTGTCTTGTTAGCCAAAAGCAAATTTATTCAATGAATCTCTGTGGCTCTGGAGTCTTACTGACACTCCAATAAGTATTTATGTATCTGTACAACAGGATCTTCAAATAAAAACATAGTTTACTAGACACTTCTATAATACTTTTAACTAGCAAAAGCTATATTTAACCTTGGTATTTTACATACTGACTTTTAAAGAAAACATTGTGAACAACAACAGATATTTT